AACAGGATGGAGCTCTCTGCTCTGCGGTCAGAGCTTGGGGCAGGGGGTCCCAGATCCTCCCAGAGAGGATAGCTGCCCACTCCCACTCCCCCAGCACCCCTCCCTCCCCACCTGCCCAATCTGTCACTGTCTCAGGGCCTTGGAAGACACTGCTCCCCAAATGCTGGTTCCAGGGTCCCAGGGTAGCCCTGGGGGGCAGGGCTGGGAGTGAAATTCTTTCTATTTTATATTTACTTAAAAGTTCAGGAAGCCCTTGCTGACATTCTTGCTTGGGGGCCCAGAATTTAAACTTAGTCACTGCCCAGAGCCCTTGTTTTAGGAAAGAATGAGATGGCCGTGGTTGCATAACCCAGAGCTGGGTGGGTGTGGGTTGCAGAAGGAAACGGTCCTTCTTCCTCCCTCTGAGAAGGAAGGCTCAGCGAGGAGTGCTGGGGATGGGCGGGGCACTGCCTGGAGAAGGGCGCCGAGGGTAGGGGGTAGACAGACCTGTGCAGGGAAAGCCCGGGCAGCAGGCACTGAAACACTCAGACCAGACACTGTCCAATGCCCCCTGGACACAGCACAGCCAGAATAATCCAGAAAACCCAATGGATGATACTGGGTGCGGGTGGAGTAGGGGACAGATTCTGGGAAAGGAGGGGAATGGAGGGGTGGACTGACCTGGATAAAGGACAGGGGTGGGGTGGGGTCTGCTCTTTGGACACTGTCCCTAAGAGCACCCAGAGTATGGGTTCCTCTGCCCACCCCCACCCCATAATTTCAGCGGACCGATTTCCGTCCCTACCTCTGAGGTGTTCAGACAGTTCTTCTCCTGCACACTCAGCCCGCCTGCAATCCTTCCGGACTCCCACTGTCCCAGACAGCGCTAGGATTTCTGACAGTTCATTCAAAATGTACCTTCCCCACCCACTCCCCATCTCACCCCTTGCTTCCCCCAGCCCCTTCTGTCATTTTACCCCAGTCTAGTCCCCAACACCCACCTTCCCCTCAGTCACATCTCAGGGAGACCTTCTCTTGCCCCTCCCTCAGTTTTGCTCTTTCTCACCTCTCCCTTGGTTTATTTTCTCCCATCAGCAGTCAGTTCTCTGAAAACCCCACTCTCCATCATCTCCCCCTTTTCTCTCTTTCCACTGGCCCACATTCCTCCCATGACCGCTTCGCCATCCCTTGTCCATCCACTTAAGTCCTCTGTCTTCTCGCTCCCCTGTGGAGTCTCACTCACCACACATACACCCGAAGTAGATTTCAGGTTTTCCCCTTCATCTCAACTCCCGACCTTTTCTTCTTCTCCCCCTCCCCACCCTCCAGTGCCTCCAGCCAGCTGTCCAGCTCCCAAATTCCGGGCGAGATTCCCAGGAACAAAGCAAGAAAAATCAGTAATTTGGGAAGTAAACAGAAACTGGGAAGGGAGGAAGTAGAGAAAAGTGGGGAGGACCCAGGTGGAGGGGGGGCCTCTCCAGTCCCACCCAGTTTAGGGAATGCCCCTGCCTTCTCCACCGCCCCCCTTCACCTGGCTCTTAAAGGGCCGGGCCCCTGCCGGCAGCTACTTAAGGCAGAGGGGCGGCGGCGGGCAGCAGCTGCGCTACGACTGCTCTGGGAGGAGTGGACGGGGCAAAAATCCTAACCATGACCCCCCACAGGCTGCTGCCGCCACTGCTCTTAACTCTGCTGGTCGCTGCCTGCCCAGGAGGCGCCCTGGCACGGTGCCCAGGCTGCGGGCAGGGGGTGCAGGCAGGATGTCCAGGGGGCTGCGTGGAGGAGGAGAATGGGGGGCCTCCCGCGGAGGGCTGTGCGGAAGCTGGGGGCTGTCTCAGGAGGGAGGGGCAGCAGTGCGGGGTCTACACTCCTAACTGCACCCCAGGACTGCAGTGCCGGCCGCCGGAGGAAGACGAGGCGCCTTTGCGGGCTCTGCTGCTGGGCCGGGGCCGCTGCCGGGCGCGCGTGCCCTCGGGTGAGTCCGCGCCCCGCCCCTGCCCCGCCCACGTGAGACCCGCAAATCTGCCAGCAGGGTCCTGAAGGGATGCGCGCGGGCAGCCCTGCCAGCCTCTGGGTCCTGCGATTGACGCTTCCTCCTCCCCAACTCTGGGGGACAAATTTTGGGGGGTGAAGGGGCAAGTGCGGGAGCTTCTAGAAGTCTGGGGTGCGTCTGGGGGCCCTGGGGATAAAGCAGGGAGGTATCTGACCTCGCAACCTTTTCTGCCCCCCTGCCTATTTTCTCTTGAAGGGAAAGGGAGGAACGGAAGGGTTTAGGGACATGCCGTTTGCCACAGAGGCCCAGCTCTCTTAGCTCCCGCAGCTAAAGAAAGGACTTAGACATTGTTCCCAGCTTCCACTTGGAGAATGAGGGAAGAGAACTCCAGATTCCCAAATCCTGCGCATGTTGAGAAATATCTCCTGTTCTCCTATCAGGGTGTCCAAAGCACCTGAACATGGCGTGGAGAATAGACGATGGCCCAAATCCAGAGTTCTTTCAGACTAGACTAGGGTTATGGGGCAGGGGCTGGGGCCCCCCCTCGGGAGGGAGGGATAGAGGTGAGAAAATAAGGAATCTGCCAAATCAGGATTATGATTTAAAGATTCTCAGAACCCTCCACCCATCCCACCCCACCCCACCCTAACCCAGAGAGGAGACCAGAAGACTGAGTCATTGGGTGGGTGGGACAGAAGTGAGTCAGAACCTGAAAGATGGGGGGCAGCAGGAAGATGGGGAGAGCAGGAGATGCAAATGGCCCCCACTGGAGGCCATCTGAACTCCTGGTTTCTTTCTCAGGAAGGGATGGGAAATCAACTGGGAGTTTCTTTCAGTCCCAAATGCCTGGGTCCAGGCTGCTAGTGGTCCTCCTGGAAAGGGGTGGTCTAGGTCAGAGGAGGCAGCTGGAAGAATGGTCACAGTAGGATGCTGAATAGAAGGAATGAGGGGCAAGGTCTGAGGAGTGTGGAGGAGGAAGGATCAGATTCAGGACTGCAAAGGAAATGGTTATTCGGTTTGGGGTAGTAGGCAGATAGGAGCAGCTGGCAAGGTGTGAGGACTGGGGACTGAGCAGAGCTTGTCTCTGGACATGGAGAGAAAGAGATGATCACTTCAGAGCTCATAATATCTCACTTTACAGCTGGGGCAAATTCCAAGCAGTGCCTGCTCTCCTCCCTGTCTTTTCTTTGCCCTGACACCCTGACTTTCCCCTCCCGTCCTGAGGTCTCCTCTACGTCCCCCAGTACTTTTTGTGAAATTTTCTCCAGAGCAAAGAGCATCCTGCAGGTCGGAAGCCTGTCATTCCTGTACCTTTGCAACCTGTTCCCCTCTCCCCTGCCAGGGCCCTGATTAAAGACTGAATAGCGCAAGGTCCTGGATCCACTGAGTTTAAGCTGGGCTGAGCCTCAGGGAAGGGAGAGGTCCCCACTGCAGTGCCCCCAAAGTAACCATGTCTGAGGCTTGGGAGGAGTGGGCTGAGTCACAGCAGGGTCACAGCGGGGACACGCATTCCACTTGGGTCCCAGCTAACCCCCTCGAACCGCCATTGCTCTTCAGCCCCATCTCCCTGGCTTGGTGCACCCCCTGCTGGCCTCTAATGGAAAAGCCATGTCTTTTCAGCCAAAGCCCAAGACCTCGGGATCAATGAATGTATTGATGTTTGCTTTCCAAAGTGCTTCTCTCTTATAAGCCTTAAAACTAGTCTAACGTCAGGAAAGGTAGTATCACCATATGTCAGAGAGTGAAACTGAGGCCAGGAAGGCAATGGTGGAGCCAGGTTCTAAACCCCCTCCCTACTCTAAAAGCCCTGCTAGTTTCCACTTGGCTCTGGCCTTTGAAATCTGGTCAATTTCTGGCCTCTCTTTCCCCCATTTTTCTTGTGGCTGTAGGGGAGAATCCTAAGGAGAGCAAGCCCCAGGCAGGGAGCACTCGCCCACAGGACGTGAACCACAGAGACCAACAGAAAAATTCGGGAACCTCTACCACTGCTTCCCGGTCCAATCATGGGGGCATTCAAGACACTGAGATGGTGCGTTTGGGGCTGGAAGTGGGCAGGAGGGGTGGGGATCCCTGGAATTTCCCATCTGAGACTGCTCCCTTGGGCTTGGAGAAGACTCCCACATCAGTCCTGGATGCCTGGCTGGCGAGGCCAGCGGGCTTTGCAGCAGAGCTATACCTCCCCCCAGGGCCCCTGCCGCAGACATCTGGACTCAGTGCTGCAGCAACTCCAGACCGAGATCTACCGCGGGTCTCAAACCCTCTATGTGCCTAATTGTGACCATCGTGGCTTCTACCGGAAGCGACAGGTAAGGCCATTCCTCTCCTCCCTTGGTCTGTCAGTCAGTACAAGGGTCCTACCAGGGACTGGGGGAGGGGGACTTACAAAGTTGCATAAATAAGACCCTGCCCCTGCCTTTAGGGATCTCCCAACTTTAGGGCCTGCACAAATACAGAGAATAACCAACCACAGCAAGGGAGAGGAGTTTGACTGTCTCAGCAATGCCTAACTCAGAGGTTCACAAACATGAGGAGCATCAGAATCAGCTAGAGGGATCTGTACGCAGGTGGCTGAGCCCTGCCTGCAGAGCCTGAGAATCTGCATTTTTAACATGGTCCCTAGTGATGCTGATGCTGTTGGTTTGGGAACCATACTTTGAAAGCTACGGTTCTGGCTTAGAAGGATGGGCACAATTTGGTGGGTGAAGAAAAGAAGCCATGGAAGCGAACCCAGCGGGCCTCACTGTCCTGAGAACACTCAGATGTTGCTGCATACTTAGACTACACACTCAGACTCAGGAGTTCACAACCTGTCCCCAACCCACGGGGCCCCTCTCATCTCTTTCTGGAGTCTTGGGCCGCACCTCTGATCTGTGTTCCTCTCTCCCCAGTGCCGCTCCTCCCAGGGGCAGCGCCGAGGTCCCTGCTGGTGTGTGGATCGGATGGGCCAGCCTCTGCCCGGGTCCTCAGACGGCAATGGAAACTCCCCCTGTCCCACCGGAAGCAGCGGCTAAGGCTGGGTGGGGGGCTGCAGGGCGCTGGCAGGAGCGTGGGGCTGTCATCTTGGGTTATTTGTTGAGTGATGAGTAACTCAGGGGCCCAGAGCCCCACACTTCACCTTCAGGCCTTGCCCCATTGCCCCCCTCACCTCTGGGACCTCACACATGGAAAGATTGCTGGTGTTGTCTTGGAGTGTTAATAAAGCTGTGTTGGGGGTCTCTGGCCTACATCTCTGTGTTCACCTCTCACATTTCTGGAGTCCCTGGCCCTTCTCTCTACTCCTTGTCCAGCCCCCCATAGCAGCTCTCTTCTGCGGACTACCTTCAGTCCTGCCCACCACACTCAGAATGACGGACACAGCCCCTGGTGGATGTTTCACACCCTCAAGCCTCACCCAACTACCAACGGGGGGTGGGGGCGGGGAAACAGAGGCCATGGACTGAGTCTGAGGCTGTGACCTTGTTTCTAATACTGATCTTTGGACACAAAGGAGGAAGGATTGACAGTTAATCCCCAGCGGGAACCCAACAAAGAGGAACTCTCAAGGCACTCTTCTGTTACTTCCTACTAAAAAGGGAAGGAAACTATTATTTACTGAGCTCTTACCACGGGCTAGGCCCTGGACCATGTGCTTTTACCTGGACTACCTCATTTTGGGCTTACAGTAACCTCGTGAGGTAGGGACTTTCACCCCTGTTTTTCAGACGAGGAAACTGTAGCTTAAAATATTTGGGTCATTTGCCTGAAATTCCACAGCCAGTAAACGATCCAGGGAGGATTTAAATCTGGTTCTTCTGTATGTGACAATGACTGGCATTCCTCAGGTGCTGAATGTTTGTTTTCCCTCCTTTCTGCCTCCCTGCTAACCCACACCGGTGTAGGGGAGAGTTGGTGTTCAGGGGCGCTGGCACCTAGCACTTCCTGGAGGGGCCACAGCACCATAGTCGTCACAGGTGCCAACCTCATCAGACTAACGATCACATGCACACAGAGCTTTCAAGATGACAAGGCTCTTTCATGTTCCTTATCATGGTTTAAGGGAGCTGAGTGCCCTGATACCTGAGGATGTTTCTGACTCCTCCCTAACCTTCAGCCTACTGGGAATGAGATTGGAGGGCAGCCACACCAGGTGACAGGCCTCAGAGAGGCAGAGTCCCCCTCCCCACGACCTGTACAGGTACAGAGCCACCATTCCTGCGGGAGGGAGCTAGGCATCCGGGTGGTGGCTGGGCCGTTTGTTGGGGGGTTGCGTTCACCCCTGCGACAGCCAGGAGAGCCTGCAGCCTGTAGCTGAGATGGCGCTGCCTGCTGGATGGTGACTGGATAACCTATAACCCCTCCTCCTGAAAGGACTTTGGTGTTTGGAGTTGTCAGAAGAGCTGAGTGAGATAAGAGCTCAGCCAGGCAAACCTGAAGGGAGGGAGGGAACACGCATTGGCCACCACCACCCAGTCAGGACTCACATCATGGAGCCAAGGGCGGCCCGGCGGCTGCGGAGGAGAGAAAGGCTGGGAGGAGAGCAGAAGGACCAGCCCTCCAGAGAAGGGGAGCCCCGCTCTGGGAGTGCAGCCGGAGGTGGGGATGTGCTGTCCAGAGGGGCTCCTGTTACCTTCAGTCCTTCCGGCTGTCCTGGGAGGCCAGCCTCTGCCCCTAACTACTCAGCTGGGGAAGGGAGGAGAAAAGAGCTATTCAGTGCCATAGCCTTGCCTTATCTTTATGACTTACCTGAGGGGGTGATTAGCGTAGCTTCCTGTCTCCTGGGTACCCTGTTTCCAGTAATGTCATCAGGCTCCCTGCTTGCCAGTGGCCTCCTCGCCCCCTGCAAAAATAACTTCCCCTCTGATTCCCACCCCCTACCCCACCCCCCAGCCATGTTACTAGATCTTGACTGGTTGTGGGGTGGGGAGGCTACTGAGTACACAGAAAGCACTTCCTGGACAGAGAATGCCTCTGGGTCTGCATGAAGTGGCAGAACCTTAACTCCTCCCCTTTGACCCCTTCTCCTAGGAAACGCTGAGACACACAGAGGCCCAGACTTGGTGCAATGGACCCGACATATGCAGGTGAGGGATGTCAGAGGTCAGAGATAAAAACAGACAGGTCCTAGAGAAGAGGGAAGGAGGGGTGAGGACTGGCTTGGTGATAAAGACAATTTGTCCTTGGGTTCAAACCCCTCAGATCTGGTTAGAGCTAAGGGTTAAAGTGGAAGGGTTTGAAACACAGGTTATCAGGGTAGAGGCCAAAGACTGGCCAGTGAACAGTCTTCTGTTAATGGAGCTAGAGGTCAGGAGAGGAAAGCTGGGGTCAGGGAGGAGAGAATGCGGTCAGAGATGATGAGGTGATTAGGGTTCAGATCCGGGGATGGGAAGGATATTTCCTGAATCCTCACTGCTGCCCTGGGAAGCCAGAGGGAATTAAGTTCGGGGGGAACCTCTGGGCAGGAACCCTGCTTATTCATCTTTACATCCCTAGCACTTAGCAGTGTGCCTGGCATAGAGAGAGACTCCATAAATGTGTGGTGAATGAGAGGGTGACTGGCTGGAGGGACGTGGGCCCTGCCCCACTTTGTCCTGTAGGCTGTGAAGGCACAGTTGCTGGAGCAGGCGCAGGGCCAGCTGACGGAGCTGCTGGAATGGGCCATACGGGAAGCCATTCAATCCTACCCGCCACAAGACCGCCCAGTGCCCTCCATCCCTTCAGATTCCTTGAGCAAGTAAGCGTCTGAGCAAGTAAGGGGCTGGGGCATGACTGAGTAGCCTCTCCATCCTAAGGACTGTGAGCTGCAGACATTATTTCACATGCCCTTTGCCAGCACTGCTGTGACCCTGACTTCAGCCTTCCCTCTTCTCCCCTTATTGCCTCTGCCT